GGGCCAAAATTCCTCTACAGCGCTGTAAAAGACTCATTGCCAGTTATTGCAAACGCTTGATTGCAGTTGTTGCTGCTAAGGGTGGCCCAACCAGTTTTTAGGTTTAGGGGGCAATCACTTTTTCACACAGGGCCATGTAGGTTTGGATTTTTTTCCCCCCTTAATAATAAAAACCTTCATTTAAAAACTGCATTTTGTGTTTACTTGTGTTATCTTTGTCTAATATTTAAATTTGTTTGATGATCTGAAACATTTAAGTGTGACAAACATGCAAAGAAATCAGGAAGGGGGCAAACACTTTTTCACACAACTGTATGTATGTATATGTGTGTATGTACTGGTATTGAAATAACAGTTACAGAGAGTTAAGATTTTGGCCCAGCCCGAGGCCAGATCAATGTAAAGACCTGACAGTATATTATGTTTGTATAGAATAAAAACATCTGTAGTTGCAGAATTACTTCCCTCCTGTTTGTTGCTGAAGATAAAAGTCTGTTTTATTTTGTCTCTTTTCAAAGGTGTTCATCGGCATGAAGAAGCAGCCAGTAGCTGTGCCTGCTTTTGCATCCAGTCTGGTGAGTCAACTGCAGGAAATTCATTTAATTCATTAATAAATAAAATAAATCCAAACCTCATTTTATTATATATTTCCCTCCCTTTGGTCCCTCTCCTCAGGGAATGCTAGAGCCCACCAAAGACTCCGTACCAGCCGTGTGTCCTCCTGACACGCCGCAGCCCTCCACACGTTCTACAAAGGTACATTCATCTTTTTATTTATTCGGTATTAGATTAAAGAACAAGAGACTAGAGCTGAAGGTTATCTACAGAGGAATATAAAGACGTCACAGGTCAAACATTAGTGAACGTGTTGTTTTAAACCAGCTAAACTGTCATAAGTCTGTTTCTAGACCTGCAGCTCGCCTGGTGTTCAATCGCCCCAAGTTCTCCCACACAACTTGCCTTCTTCGTTCTCTACACTGGCTACCTGTAAAAGCCCGCATCCAGTTTAAGACTCTGGTGCTAGCCTACAGGGCAGTGACAGGAACAGCTCCTTCCTATCTCCAGGCCATGGTCAAGCCCTACACCCCGGCCTGACCACTTCGCTCTGCTACCTCGGGGCGACTGGTTGCCCCGTCGCTCAGAGGTCCCTGCGGCCGATCGACCCGGTCGCGGCTGTTTTCTGTCCTGACCCCACAGTGGTGGAATGAACTCCCCACTGACGTCAGGACGGCAGAGTCGCTGCCCATCTTTCGGCGCAGGCTGAAAACTCACCTCTTCAAAGAGGCCTACCCTTCCGCTTAGCACTTACTTAGCATCTATTGTATTCATACTGGCTTATTGCACTTATTGTTTTTATATTAATTTGTGGCACTTATTGCATTCGTTTGTTTCTGCACTGTACGTTGGCTCTGGTTTATGCTCTTAGATGCTTGTTTGAGGACAGGACATGCACTTATTACTTCTGGTGACTAGTTGTTCTCTCGAAAACCGATGTTGAATACACTTACTGTAAGTCGCTTTGGATAAAAGCATCTGCTAAATGACTGTAATGTAATATAGAGCAGGAATACCCAGGTCTGCACAGCTGCTATGTGGGTAAACAGCCACTAGATGTCACTAAAGATGTGTTTCTCTGCTCGCTCCATTAAGTCGCTCCACTGATGCATCTCCTTAAGTGACCGTTTTTAAATGTTGTCTCCTCTGTGCGTAGGAGGCGCTTCCTTCCAGCCAGCTGGACTGGAGCAGCCGTGGCCTTAGCAGCTCTCAGGATGGTACGTCCCCCCGCCGAGCCCCTCACTTCTGGGGCTGGAAGTAGACCTCCTCCTCCCCACTTCCTCCAGGGCATGTTCTGCTTCTTCTTTTCTTTTCTTTAACGCCGTGTTTCCCTCCAGTCGCTCAGGATTTCTTTCTCATGAATAACAGAGATGGATCCAGTGTTGAGAAGTCATGTTTCTGTCTTTATTATCTGTCCAAGTTTGCAGATTTATAAATATCCAACAAGTAAGACAAGAACTTTACTGTGAAACATCTACCGGGGGAAACACTGTGCTGGCTCCCTTCTGCCTCCTTCCTTTGTCTCCTCTCGTGTCCCATCTTTACCTGCAGCCAGAGCAGAATTGATCTCAGTATTTATCAGTTATTTTGGGGAAACATTGAGGTGTTCATCTCGACTTGGTAACACTTGGATGTGCGTACTGTTACTCGCTATGTGATTATTCTGGAAGTTGTTTATTTAAAGTAGAACCAGAATACCTGAAGGTAATGCTGAATAAAGCACGAAACACTAAATTAAATTAGCATGGTCATGAAATGTGCCATGACGATCTAACGGTTATCCAAAGAAGCATTTTAATATAATGTACTGGTGGACAGTTGGACTCTTCCAGTGTTAATACTTCTCCCAGTGCATGACTATGTCACACTCATCGAAATGATTTATTTGACACAAAAGTGTCGATTTATTTGTTCATATTAGCTCGTAGAAAGGTTTTTGTTGAAGAGAAACCCAAAAGATAACAAAACAGCATCAGAGTCGTTCTTTGCTCAGGAAATATTTGATTTATTGATAATCAGATTTGTGTGTTTTGATCAGTATTTACACATAAAGGATTGTAATTCATGACTGTTACAACATGAGTGAGCTTCCTGTATGCGGGCAGTCTTCTTTGGTCAATTTAATATAATTCTCTGGAGCTTCATGTATTTATTTGTCAGTTATTGAGAAATGATTAAGGAGCCTACCTCCATCTAACAAATACAAATAAACAAAAGAGACAAGAACAAAAGCTTTTAATAGGAAGTGTTTCAAGTTGTTGGTTTGTTGTTGCAGATAACGTGCTGCTAGTCAAACTATTTACATATTAAATATTAATTGGCCACAATCTGACACAACTAATGTGTGCAGCTTATTCTGCTGCGTGTTTTTAAAGAACACAAATGTATAAAGAAAATCTTCTTGGCTTAGCCGTCACTCATGAAGACAAACTGTCAAACCTAGAAAGATAAAGAACAAGAAGTGTTAAGTCACTTTTTAACTTTGGGCTGTCGGTTCCATCGACATCTTTTTTTATTAACGTCACCAGAATAAAAGTCTTGAGTTGAGTCCACATGTATTAAAACATTAACGTTTAGATCCAGACTTCTGTTTCCATGTTTTAAAGAGAGCGTTCATGACACATGAGCACAGACAGTGATGTAATACTGAGCATGGACAGCAGGGGGCAGTGCTCTCTGTAGGAGGAGCTACAGGAACAAATCAGAAGAATTTAAAGTCATTTACATTCAAATAATCAGCAACTAAAAGAAAAGGATATGCACTTCATACATATATATATGTGTTGTAGTTTTTTATTTCTTCTTTGGTTGGTCGTATTAAATCTGTCTTCAGGGTTTTTATTCTGTGATTATGTTTAATATGTGGGAGATTATTGTCATAATAGAAATAATTGTTACTGCTGTCAATTTATGCTGTTTATTTATTTATGTTAGCTCCCTGTGCACTGACTCATAACACTTTATGAGCATGAAGCATAAAGGAGTGTTTATTTAAAGTGAATCATACCTGAAACTCACTCAGTATTACGTTTCCAATCAAAAGTGTTTCCACGACTGCAGCTAGTGTTTCATAATGAGTTGTGCCTTTATGCAGCAATTGTTTTCTAAAAACTTTATGGTTTATTAACAGAAATCTTTCCTTTTTGCTCAAATCCAGATTTAATTCACCGCAATAAGGAACTTTAGTGAATCCTTAAATACTGAAATAAATCAGTCGATCCTTTCTGCTCGTGTCGCTTCTCTTTTCTCAGCTTCACTTCTTCTTTTCTCTGTGGTCGAATGTAAAGATGTATTTAAACATCTACACAGCTCGCTGGGGTTCACTTTTCTTTTTCTTTAAACAAGTCAAAAGATGTAAAACAGTTTAGAGTCCACTCTCTTTAGAGGAGCTGGTCAGTGGTTCCCAACCTGGAGACCCGGCCCCAAAATCAGATTTACATAACACACTTCATACACAAGTCTGTCTGTTTAAACTATTTAAAAAGATGCATGTTTGTTGTTCTTACTACAACAATAGAACACCAATAAAGACCAGGCTGCACTAATATTATCATCATTATCATACAAATTGTTAAAAGGTTTGTTTACATTTCCAGTAACTCGAGTCAAGTTCCCAAAACTTTATTCATGTTGATGAAACTGACGAGTTATATTCATTAAATATTCATTAAAAATACTTGACTCATTTAATATTCTAAATCTCTTTATTTAAATTGCAGATTTGTAGTTTTTTTTAGGGTGATGACATCATAAATGGGGGGGGGGGGGGGATCTATTAGGTCACAAATCTTGATCTACCAATAAGAATGATTAAAAGGTGGTGTTTGTCCCGCCCTCACAGGTGCAACAAAGCTAACTGGAGACTCAGGAAGATGTCAATCAATTGACTTAGTTTTGCATATAATTAAGGTGAAATTCATACTTTTAAGCATCTTTTTTGACTATTTGTCACCTGAGTCTGAGTTATTTCCATGTGCAGATTATTTTTAGTGACCTCTGATTATTAAAAGAAGTTGGATAACAACTGCATGGCTTTGTTTGCAGTGTTTGTCTCTCTCGGTCGTCCCCACTGCCTCAGTTAAAAGGAAGAAAAACATTCTCCTTTTATGAACAGTAAATCCGGCCTCATCCCTCCTCATCCTCATCCCTCCTCCTCCTCATCCTCATCCCTCCTCATCCTCATCCCTCCACCTCCTCCTCACCCACTCTCCCCCCTTGTTAGCACAGACTGCTCTGCTCTCAACCTGGATTATTTTGGTCCAGAGGAGGAGAGCGGATCCTCCAGCAGCAGCAGCAGTAGTCCTCCTCCAGGTCAGGTTTTATTCTCGTTCACCAGGTTTTTCATTTTAAAGAAACCATAAATATCAGCTTTATCTCGTGCCGTGGGTGTGTGAGTGTTCTTGACACTCGTTGCATGTTTGTCACACACACACACCCACACACTCACTCACATGTAAAGGAGTTGACCGTGAGCTGTATGAGTTGACCGTCAGCAAACTGGAAACCAACGCCATCAGCAGCCACACGGACGACACTTTGAACCGTCTGATGTCCACCGCGGAGAAAACCAGCACGTCAGTCCGGTCAACGCAGTTCTTTTATTTTAATATCATTTTTAAAGCATCCATACAATGAAGCAACATTGATAACACAACATGTCCTTGTGTGTGTTTGTGCTGTTCATCAGGAGACCTCAGCAGGATGAGGATGAGCTGAGTCTGGAGGCTGACACGGTGATCTGTGCACTGCCTAACCTGTCCTTCATGCAGGCCAAGGTCCTCATGTTCCCAAGCATCCTGCGACCCTAACAATGCTGCTCCCCAAAATAACATTAAAAGGCTTAAATCCACAACCTAGTGCAGTTAATGCAGGATTCAAATACTGTGAGGAGATCTTCCTGCTTCAGTTGAAACACCCCACTCTTAAAAAATGTAAGCTCTGTGTCAGAAGAGTTGCAGAATACCACTATTATGGAGTATATCAGCTCATGCATTCATTTCACTGAACAATAATCTTCAAAAGGCAAAGAAGGTTTTATTCTTGTTTTTATTACTCTTCTTAAAGCCGAGTCTCGTGCTTTATTTTGGTGACATTTATTCCCTCTAGAGGCTGTTATGTTTGATTGTGTATTTATTTTTATTATAAAAACATGTCCCATTTTTGATAAATTATTTTAGTTAAATGTTATGAAGACAGACGCAGTGTAATTTCTGATTGGTTTGATAAGAACTGAGGAACCCATCAGACCTCTCTCTTCATTTAACTTAGTATAGAAATGTTCCGTATGATGATGTCTGTAACACTTCACTAATGATGCTATGAGATATCATATTTTACACATATTACTGGGCGATTCCATGTTTCAAAAACACAAATATTGACAATTTGTATAGTTTATTATTATTTTATTTTATTTGTTGTGGCTCAAGGTGGGGCGGCGCCCTAGCGCCCTCTATTGACCAGCCGCCACTGGTTTTGACGCACAACAATAAACATAGTGAGAGATAATTAAAAACAAAGCCAGTGCTCTAAAAGTCAAGACATAAATATAAAATAGACAAATAAACTTGTGAAAATATGTGCAATTTATCTGGTTTAAAGATAAAAGAGCTGTGCAGGAATGTGGACATTATTCATTCACTGCTTCATATCATGCATGCTCTTCAGATCTAGACTGTTTTATGAAATAAGAATTACCACTTTGAGCCAGATTAGAGGCTTTACATTGTTACATGTTGCATGTTGGAATTTAATTAGACTACATTGCATTTAAGGATCCAATATCTTAGATAACGTTGTTGCTTGCAAAGGAGGGAATCAGTGAATGCATGACTGTAAAATCAAAGAGTTTGAAGATGATTATCTTGAAGGGAGTGACTGACGTTTGAACGTCTCTGTTACACACCGGATGAACACCCTCCCCTTCCTCCTCCTCCTTTCCGGGTTGGTTTGTGTGTCTTCCTTCCGGCTTGCCCGAAGAAAGTTGAGGGAGAGGTTCAGCGGCAACTGGGGTTTTTACATACAATGGACAGCCAGGGAAGGAAAGTGGTGGTCTGTGACAATGGCACCGGGGTAAGTTTCTTCGCTGCTCCGGTTTAACCCGCTCTAAAGGCCACGTAGCTCGCTTTTTAAACGGAGCCGTTATGTCGGAACGATTTTTGCCGAAACCGGAAGTGGGGCTGTCAACGGCCAAGCTAGCAAGCTAGCTAGCGTTAACTGGGTGGGTAGCTAAGCTAGCTAGCTAGCTTGTTAGCAGAGCTAATTTTTCATTCATCCACACCCGACACGGAAACAGCACGTATAGTTGGGTTTAAAAGGTCTGCATACAAGTTGAACATACAGCACTGGTTATAGCTTTTAAAAGCGGTTAAAGAAAACGGTTTAAAACCTTAACGGCTCGCTTGTTACCAACGGTTACTAAGCTAAGACAGCTAGCTAGCTGCTAATTCACTGCTAGCATTAAAACAGCTGGTTGTCGCCTTCTGTGCTTTATCGCAGCTGTGTCCGTCCATTCCAGTGATTTAGTTTAGGATACAATGCAAAGACATTTTGCAGATTTAGTGTCTGTGTTGCATATTTTAGTTCAGCGTTAGTAATAAGAGGACAGTAGCTAGTTTGTTGCTAGCTAGGTTAGCTAGGCCGTGTCAGGTTAATGAGGAACCACCTTTTTATGGTGTTTTTTTTCCTGTTCTGCAGCAACTTCCCGGTTAGAAATGTCACCAAAGCTGCTGTTAGTGAGTTTTTTTTGGGCCTTGGAAAGACCACATAATTTACCCTCTTATGTATTTGTCATAATCATCTCTGTTTTAATATACATTTACTTTATATTTATAATATACTGCACAGCTGAGGGATTTTGATGGGTTGACAGATGCTTGAAATTGTAGAGTAGTAATAGACATTACAAATAGATCCCCAATAGAATGACAAGTTGCCACCGACCACCAGCCCAATTATTGATCATCTGCACTACATTTCTGTGGGCCTTTTTGTCACAGCTGGCTGGTTTAATAGTCCACTATGCTCCTGAATTTAGGGGATTTTCCAGCTGCTGTGGTTTGTTGACAAAATGTGCAGTTTCTGCCCAATCCAGCAAATAGCACAGGCTTTAATGTTAGGGTATTACTCATTGCACACAGTTAACACTGCCTCATTGTGATTGTACTTCCTTTCTAAACGTCATCAGTAGTCAAAGAGGATGTTGGCTCAGCATGTTACTGACTAATAAGGCTTTTTGCAAAGCCAGAAAAAAAAAAGCAGCCTTGTATCAGGGTTGAAATTAGGAGTCACAGGGAAGTGAGAAGAGTCACAACCGCACATGTCAACAGCACCTTTTTATAGCCCTGATACATGCTGTACCACATTATAGTTCAGTGTAAAATCTGACAGTTGAACTTTGCTTTGCAACAAGCTCCTGCAGCTGCAAAACAAAGTGACGAGCGACTCTGACTGGTTTGGTTTGCATGTGAATTTCACAATCTTCCACCAAAGCTCACCGTGATAGAACTGGTTCAGTAAGATGACTAATCCAACTGCAGCGGATTTAAGTGTCATGAGAGACAGAATTACCTCAAACAGTCGTCTTCAACAGCAGTACTGAACTGTGTTCTCTCATTTTGGGTCGTGATAGCAAAAAAACAGAAGGATCTAACAGGTGTAACATTAAAGCATTTGCAGAGGAAGCGTTGTGCAAAAATGTGCACAACTCGCATGCACAGGAAAAGGTGTTAATTAATATTTCTTCAAGAAATACCACAACACAGCTCGGATGCTATCGTTTTCTGGTATCGCAGTTTAATGATACGATTCTCAGAGCTCATATATCTGTTGTAGCCGAGTGACCTGCTTGGCTTTCATATCCATACCCCTCACACAATTCATGTAGATATACCATAGTACAATGTGACTTAAGATATTAATACTAAAAGATTATGCTTAAACATTTGAATGGCTTTTAAGATGAAATGAACCAGAATTGTATGTTTATTTTTATCGTTAAAAGCTGTAGATCATCCTTAAATAACGTGAAATACATGTATGGTTTTTCTGGCATTGTGCTGCAGGCTGAATCATGTGCTGGCTGCTCATTCACATACACACAGACATGGAGGCTCTGTCACTGTAGCGTCAGCGGTTACGTTTTTATCTCCGTCTAAATGCTAATTAAGCCCGCTGTTATCAGCAGGACGACAATGACAATGTCTCGCTGTACTGCTAAGTTTATCCTGTCTGTACTTAAATGTAATTTCTCACTTTTTCTTTGGTTTTCTCGTCTCTTTCTCTCTTTCTTTTAGTTTGTCAAGTGCGGCTTTGGAGGCTCCAACTTCCCCGAGCACATCTTCCCTGCGCTCGTTGGGAGGCCCATCATTCGCTCGACAGCCAAAGTCGGAAACATTGAGATCAAGGTATGATCTGATCCTCCCGATGTTGCAGGAATGGTTGCTTTGACCAGAAAGTCTTGATTTTGTGGGAAAATCTGGTCAGGAAAATGACTGATATAACACAGAAATAAAATCTGCAAACTAGAGCGAGGAAGCAAGATGTGAAATCACACACAACAGAGCAAAGACTGTCTGATTCCACTCTTAAGGCTCCAGTAAGAGTCCCATTCAGTTCTGCAATCTGTTAGATAACATAATCAATCCTCTAACCAGGAGCTCCACCAGCATGTTTTAGAGCTCCTCCCAGTACAAACAACACTATCTCTATTGCATTCCTGCAAATACGAAATCTTATACGAAACGGTTTCCCCATTATTTCAGCATGAAGCCTATCTCTCCTGTTCTTTCCAATTCTTTTGTTTATTCATCTTTTATTCTATATATATTTATCCACCTTCCTCTTCCTCCATGTTTTGTTCCCAACGACAAACTAGAATGCCCAGAAGATGGTGAGTTCAGGTTGGAGTGAGCCTCCTGGTCTTGCCTGCTCCGGAGAGTTGTCATGTTTTGATCTCAACTAAAAATGTCTTTGTTTTAGACGTTTGGCTTTTCTTTTCGTGCAGTGTTTCTTTAATGTTTTGTTTTACTCACACAGTGATTCCACTCTTGTTCATCCCAGCTCGTCTCCGTTTGGTTAGAGTGTCAGAGAGTCTGATGGATGTACAGCCGGAGCGTTAATGCACTCCTCTCTGCAGGCTCAACGTGTTGCACAAGCGGCTGCGATGAGTCATAGGCCAGCTGTTATCGATGGAGTGCTAAAAGAGATTTTGGACCGATTCCATTTTCTGAGTCTCTGATCTGCCCCCCCCCGCCCGCCCCCACTATAAAGATCTTAAAATGTAGGCTGCAGCTAGAACGCTTGGTGCTAAGTGATAAAGATTGTGTACTTGAATGCATCACATGTCTGTTTACCTCACTGTGATGACACCACAAACATATCTTATTTAAGGAATGTCCACTTCTGTCTTAGTATCTGATGCTGTTTCACCTTCACAAGTGCAGAGGAAGTGTCCACACTGGAGGCTGCATGGCAGACAGCTGGAAGTACGAGACGGAAGCACATCTGTTTTCCTTTTATTTTATTATTGAGACCACATGGAGGCAATGCCTGAGACAGGTACTTTGTAAATGCCAAAGCACACAGGATGAACCCGTAAAATGGCCGCCACCAGGAGGCGCCCCGAGCTTTAGCGCCCCGAGCTCTAGCACCAGTGTTTGTTTACATCGCCAGGCTGCCTTGCATGCGTTTTCATTGAATGGTGCTAAAAACAAGTGGTTTACTGGAGCTAGAAGGAAGTGTTTCCAGGTGCAGATGCATGGAAAAATAACGGCTTGTTGAGCATGCTGGGTAACTGAGTTTTAAAGCAAAAAGCTACTTTGTGAGAGGATAATAATGCAGCTTTCGTTATCTTATAAATTAATCAGTTTCTCTGATCTCATGAGACCAGCAGGCCAAGTAGAAACCAATGCTCTGGGGTCCAGAAGTGGAGGGCTACATATTTATATTTATCACGTTTGACCCCTCCCTCCAGGACCTGATGGTGGGCGACGAGGCCAGCGAGCTGCGCTCCATGCTGGAGGTCAACTACCCGATGGAGAACGGAATCGTCAGGAACTGGGACGACATGAAGCACCTGTGGGACTACACCTTCGGCCCGGAGAAGCTCAACATCGACTCTCGCAACTGCAAGATCCTCCTGACCGAGCCGCCCATGAACCCCACCAAGAACCGGGAGAAAATCATTGAGGCATGTCGACATCTATTTCTGTCTGTGTGCGTGCGGCTAGAAGATGTTTTTGTAGTGGTTTGTGGGGGGGAAATAAAATGTGTAATTAACTAGTTTATGCATTTCTTATTGAGGGACAGAAGTTGTTGTTTTTACAAGATCTAGGTAGTACAGATACAGTACTATAGATAAACGGTGTATTTTTGGCAATTGTTTAAAGAAAACATGCTTCACAAACCCATCAGGTTTTGGGGTTCAGTTATTCATTATGGAGATTATTTTTTACATAATAATTTAATTAATTTTTAATATTTTTTTTAGAATTGCACTCACTGTCTGCTATTTCCTGGCTCCTCCTACAGGTGATGTTTGAGACCTACCAGTTCTCAGGAGTCTACATTGCGATTCAAGCTGTGCTGACTCTGTACGCTCAAGGTAGGAAGGCATGCACGCGCGCGCTGCGGTTCCCTTATCACAGAGATCTCCAGGTGTTCGATGACAACAAACTTCTCACCCACAAGAATACATCTCCCGACACCAGACGTGTATCTGTTAAAGCTGCTAAATGATGAGTACTTCAGTAGCTCAGAGACTGAAAGAGCTTTTCATTGTAACTGCAGAAATATTGTTGCGTGGCTGCATTAACTACCACACCTTCGTCAAATAGTCTGTGCAAAGATTTGTTTTATGACACTGCTCGGATACTAGATCTGTCTAGACAGTCACATGAACAGAACTTTATAAAAGTACAACCGATACGAGTACCGATCCGATGCCAGTGTGACTGGGTTTTATGTGTACGGAAACATTGCTTCCCTCACTTTGTAGAACAAAGTGTAACAAATACATACATAGATATGTATTGTTGTTTATTAAAATAATGGTGTCTGATACCGACCTGTTCAGCTGCTTCCAGCAGGATCAGATGAACTACAGTAAGATGCCTCCATCACACGGCCTGCAGGAGTTCTGTGAACGTTGTGTGTCTCCGAGTTCATTCCTGAGACGTTCTCATCAGTTAATCGTTACATTAGATGTCTTCTCTTGCCAGCTTTTGTGTGTTTACTCAGCCAACGGAGCTAACACTCAAAGCACACATCGGATTAAAGAAATAACTCGGACACAAACGCGTCGGCTTGGTAGAAATGTAGATTATTAACTCAGTCAGCCTCTTTTAAATCACTTCTTAAAACACATCTTTACAGACTGGCTTTTATGTGATGTCCTCGCTTTTCTGTTTTATAATATTCTTTATTTCTTAGTTTATTTTTATCGACTGTCGCACTGAGCTTTCTGTTATTGTTATTGTCTTGCTTTTGCTGCTTTGTCTGTCAAAGCACTTTGTAAACTCTGTTTTTAAAGGTGCTGTATACATAAAGTTATTATTATTATTAACTGTAGTGTGTGTGTGTGTGTGTGTGTGTGTGTGTGTTAGGCCTTCTGACCGGTGTGGTGGTGGACTCGGGGGACGGTGTGACTCACATCTGTCCGGTGTACGAGGGCTTCAGTCTGCCTCATCTGACCAGACGTCTGGACATTGCCGGCAGAGACATCACCCGCTACCTCATCAAGGTATCCCGTAATAAGACAAGACGGTCAAGTCAAAGTAACGAGAAACACAACTAGTTAGCATATAGAGGGTACGGATGTGTCATTTTGACAGATTTTTAATATCATTCATTTATAATATATATATATTTTAGTGAAACAAATATGAGATCAGTCTCTTTTAAAGGGTTAGAATCAGTTCAATAAAAGCGTGTGTTGTTTCTCTTTATTTTGAGGAAACTAGCATCATGTTTGTAAAAACAGGAAGTAAGAGGATCCTCTAGTTCCTGTTTGAATGAACACATCTCTCATACAGCAGCCTTCTTTCTCTTTTCCCACCATCGTCCTGCTCGTCTCCGGGTGCAGTTGCTGCTGTTGAGGGGCTACGCCTTCAACCACTCCGCAGACTTTGAGACGGTGCGCATGATGAAGGAGAAGCTGTGCTACGTGGGCTACAACATCGAGCAGGAGCAGAAGCTGGCGCTGGAGACCACCGTGCTGGTGGAGTCCTACACGGTAAACATTGTGCAGACACAGGAGCCGCACTTTAAAACCAGGTGCTGCCCTCACATGGACGTCCTGTGCATTACATACAAGGAAACATAACAACAGATGGCACAAACATTTAAATGAAGACCCCAAAAAGAGAAGATATGTTTGTAATGTCCCCATGTTTCCTGCCGTCATCTAAGTATTATATATACGCCCCAAAACAATAATAAAAAAGGACACCTATTAAAAGTTTCACATTTCTACACAAAATAGCTTTGTAGAAGGAATCCCTCCCAAAAGAATCTGTTATTCACAGAAGTGGCAGTATTTGAACTGAGCTGAGTAGACCAGCTGCTGACTTGACTGTTTTCTCTGGGACTCAAACACCCGGTGGGTGCAGAGCTCCTCTCCGCCCGGCTTGCTTTTCTTTCCAGGGTCCTTTTTTTTTTAAATTTAATTTTCCCTCAGAGGGAACCACAGAATCTAAACGCAGGTTCCTGAACGTCTGCGTTTACTGCACGCCTTACCGAGCACATGTTGTGTCTCGGAGCTCACCGACCGTGTGTGTTTGGGTTAGCGTGGGCGACCGTGTGTGTGTGTGTGTGTGTGTGTGTGTGTGTGTGAGAGTGTGTGAGAGAGAGAGAGAGAGAGAGAGAGAGAGTACGAGTGTGCCGAAACAAGGAGGGCAATGTAACCGCGGCCGAAAGGGCCCTGAACTGCACGTTACATCATTTCCTGTGCAGCCGCTCTGCGGCGGTGGCTGCTGGGAGACGCTTCCTCCCACTGCCCTCGGCTGAATGAAGCCTTTTTATAGTCACACACACACACTCGCATTCACTCTACCCTGCCTCTGCTTTAACGGGCTGTACAATATCATCGTAGTCTTTCAGTAGACACGCGTACGTCTTTAAAAACGGTTTATTGAAAAGTTATGACTTCCTCTCGTACGTCGCTGCATCATTCTTGATTCTTAGAATCAAGATTTATGAGTCTCACATTAAATTCTACCTCCTCAGCGGTCTTATAATTCCCCCCCCCCCCTCCTTCCACGTCTCCTTTCATCTCGTCTCTCCCACACATGTCCAGCTGCCAGATGGCCGTTTGATTAAGGTAGGAGGAGAGCGGTTCGAGGCCCCCGAGGCTCTGTTCCAGCCACACCTCATCAACGTGGAGGGCGTCGGAGTGGCCGAGCTCCTCTTCAACACCATCCAGGCCGCCGATATAGACACCAGGTGAGGCCGGAAGAAAGTGCTCCGACACTTTCTATACGCTCCTATAAAGACGCGAGAGTGAGTGTTTTCTGCTCTGTTGCACATTAAGACACAACATTAACAACACACACACACAGATATGCAAAAGGTGGTGTCGGCCCAAGCAGAGCTCCCACTTAAGCTAAAGAGGGTTTTATATCAAACTAAATATTTCTTGCTGTATTGAAAGTATGAAAAATGGATTCTTGGGTATTTAAAAGAGTGGAAATATCCCCGAAAAATGTACGCTTGGAAACCAGATGCGTCATCATTTATTCCTTGCTGCTGTATTATGTAGACATAAATCTGTAAAGTATATTTTTAACATTTGTGGGCTTAAAATCGTCCCGTTGGGAAGGAAACAAGCACCACGACTTCCTCTCTTCCTGTTGGCGTGTTGTTTGGGTCTCTTCCTGCTCTCACCCTCTCTCCCGTCGTCAGGTCTGAGTTCTACAAACACATCGTTCTATCGGGAGGATCCACCATGTACCCGGGCCTGCCGTCCCGGCTGGAGAGGGAACTCAAGCAGCTGTACCTGGAGCGCGTGCTCAAGGGAGACGTGGACAAGCTTTCGGTGAGATACGTAGACCCTCAAACGCCTCGTTTATGATTTATACTGTGAGAGCGTGACGGAAGGACTCTGAGCTGGAACACCTCAGATGTGGATCACCATGTGAAAACGGGTCGTACGGCATTTATTTAAACTCAAATTAGAACTTCATTTGCACTGTGAGCAAAGAAAGAAAGCCACAGGGAACATGTTGAGTGTGTGAACCTGACAGCATCGCCTCTGTCCCGATGACGGAGAGTTCACAGTAGAATCGATGAAACACATTTTGAGTTGCGTGTCCGTTTGTGAACACGTTTACGTCACGGTCTGGTGTCAGTGTACGTAGACCGCCACCAGGGGGCGATAGAGTTTAACACACGCTCATTTAACTTAAACACAGTGCTGTTAACAACAACATATGTGGGGGGTCACTTCTCTATGATAAATAATTTTGTTTTGGAAAAACAAATCCCCACATGACATTTCCACTCCAGTGTCCCAAAGACACTCTGAAGTGTTTTATATACAAAAGCCTCCGATGACTCACGAGTCATTATGAGCTTCACTCTTCTGCCCACAACTGCAGCCCAGCTTCAGCTTTCAGTTTCTCTCATTGTGGGAGTGGAAGTCGTTGCATGTCGTGTATTTCACATTCATCTTTCACACACGTGTGTGCAATCTATAACAAGACACAGTGTCTGTGTCCAGCTCTAATTCATGTCTGTTACAATAGATTGGGAAAGTTATCAAGAACATAAAAACTCATCTATTTAACATCCTCCCTCTAATCTTCCAAACACTCAAAACAACATGGCTGAAAACACTTCCTCCATTTGTAACTTGCACCTTTTCAGCCGTTTGCTCCGTTTAGACGGCGAACCACGTGAGCAGCAAACAGAAGCCGACACTTTTCACCCTATTTGGTAAAAAAATTATGAGAGTTTAGATCTTAACGAGCAGAGACGAGGGTTATGCTGCAGGAGTCGTCTGTTTGTTTGGATGCTTCTCCCGTCTTAAAAAACTCAACAAGTTTCATCCTCCAAGCTGATCTGAAGAGGAGTATTCATTTAAGGTAGTGACAACCCCACAGAGAGCCTTTTTACGGAGCCTTTCAGCATCTAAAGGAGCTGGTATAGACCAAAACAAAGCTAAAGGAGAAGTCATCAAGTGACTGAATACATGCTAATATCACTCCGTATCTGCTGGAGGTTTAAATTGTCAGCTTTTTGCCGACATCTGCACTAAATCAACTTTATAAGATGATCATTTCTTTGTTGTGTTTACAGCTTGTTGGTCTCGGCATGTTCTTGATGTTTAATGTCAAAATTATACATATTTTATAAATATCCTCGTCCTATAACGTCCGGTGACAATACGACACATTTAGTTTTGTTCCCTCGATTGTTTTCAGTTATGCTGCCACCTTTCACATATTACTCTAAATATTCATCCCTCCGGCTGTTCTATTAATATCAAGGTCAGTGTCTCAGTTTCAAACAAGTCAGCTCAGAACGCTGCGGTAATTCATCATCCAAACAAGTTCACACTCGACGCTGCTCCTCTTTCGGTCCTGAGCGATTCACCTGCCACGACATAGCTGCATCCCCTCACTATGCTGGGAGTCACTTGCTAACACGTACCTATTTGGGACCAGACTATTTACTGGAAACAAAAGCGATCATTCAAGAAAGTCACATCGCTGACACCTGAAATGTTTTTGAGTTTTCTACAACGTAACATGTCCAGTCTCTTTTTCTTCACCTGTTCTCGTGTGTGTGTGTGTGTGTGTATATGCATGCTTATTTCTTTAAATATTAATATTTATAATAATGCAACAGGTTAGAGAGTTCCTTGTACAGTTTGCAGCAGTCATTCTCTGAGAATCTCTTTCATTTACAAGCAACCAATCGAGAAACAATATATATCAAACAACTTTCCATTTTTCTGGCCGGTGTGGTCGTCTGACGTGTATTAAATTGTACTTTATGTTGTATAAAATGATGAGCCCTGCAGAGACCCTGACTCGGGTTAGGCCTGTGGATTAAATCCTCCATGTAGTCCAGACTGAAGCAGTGTGAACACAGCCCCTTAAGACATGTCTTTGTCTCCGTGTCCCCCTCTTCTTGTCCTGTAGAAATTCAAGATCCGCATCGAGGACCCTCCCAGGCGAAAGCACATGGTGTTCCTGGGCGGAGCCGTGCTGGCCGACATCATGAAGGACAAGGACAACTTCTGGCTGACCCGGGAGGAGTACCAGGAGAAAGGAGTCCGCGTGCTGGAGAAACTCGGAGTCACCGTCAGATAAAGCAACCGGGACGGACTGACCACACACACACACACACACACACACACACACACACACACACACACACACACACACATCCCCCCCACATCGCAGAGTTTATATCTATTTATCCCTCTTCTTCTTCTTCTCTTTCGGCTCTTGATGTTCCTCAAACATCAGAGGGAATCGAGCCGGCCCCTCCTCTTTGTTTTCTTTTTTTTTTTTTTTTTACTCGTACAGAAGGTTAAAAACCGTGACGGGGAATCCACTTTCTTTACCTCCAGAGTTTGTTTGTTTGTGAGTTTTATTTTGGCGGGTAAACCCAGCAGCCACTGCGCTAACTGTTTTCAGAACGTCTCCTCGGTTGTTTCAAACCATCCAGAGGAGACGAAGTGATGCAAAGTTTCTGTAATATCACAATCAGGCTCCACGGGCCGCTTCCACATCTGTTCCAGGTGAGCCACAACCGATCACATTTATGTCTTTTTATTTTTTAATAAATGATATCATGACTTTTCTTTCTGTTCTGGGAGAGGGATTACTGTTTTGTTCTGCTTTTCAATTTTATGAGTTGTGTTGCGGTGCACTACTACCATTGTGAATGGAGTGTGTTGTGGTGACACAAGTTCCTCCATGTTGTTGTTGTTGTTTTAATGAAGAATTGGTTGATCTACAAATACACAAAGCAAAGCCTCAGAGCTTTGACATCCAGTGTGTGACGGTACTTTTTTTGTGGGGGGGTAGGAACTACTTGTTCCTCATCGGTCGGCCTTCGTCTCTAGTATCGCAAACTGACGGAGGCCGACGAAGAGATCGATTTGAAAAAATAAGAACGGTTGAAATACTGTCGAACATATTTAAGTCCTCCAGTCCGTCTGTCCCGATTACTGGAGGCACTTCTATTTTGAGTATTAAAAAAATAATGTGTATATTTTTCTTTTCCTCTTTCCATGAGCGTCTATCCAGTGCCGTGACCTGTTCACGTGACCTGTTCACGTGACCTGTTCACGTGACCTGTTCACTGTTTTTATTTCCCTGTTTGTTCATAGCATAACTGCCTAACGCTGATTTAAATAAAGAAGTGATTTATAAAGGTGTTTGTGTGGCAGGTTATTCTCCTCTCGCATCCTCTGAATAGATGACTTATAAACCGTGTAGTTTATTCTGCAAATGTTGAGTTCATCATTTTTAAATGTCTTTTTGTCCGACCAACAGTCCAAACCTCACACAAAGTGACTGAAACCGTTGACTGATAATCAAATTATTTGCCAAATAATAATTCCAGTTTACAGTTAAGAACCGTGTTTTTAGTTGTTTCCATTCCCCTAAAAAGATTTGGGGGGAAAAGAGACTCGTGTGTACATCCTGTATGGCTACACTTTATTCAGTACTTATTTTATATTTGGATGTATTATAAATGAATCCCTGCAATCTGACACCAAACCGAAATGAAGTGTGAAAGTTCATCATCCAAAGACCGTGTGATCTGTAGAAAGTCAGTTGGTGTCAGAAATAGTTATGAAACACAAAACATCCTGCAGAGCCTGTGATGACATGCAGCCAGTCAGCTGTGAGTCATCTGTTCAGAGAGGAACAAATTCATTTGAAAAAGTGAAAGTTCACCGGTGAACGAAAAGTCAAATCACAAAATGAGCTCCAACGTAGCTTTAGTCCTCTGCTGCTTCTGTTTGTGTGAAGAGCAGATCTTAAAAACAGTAAAGGGAGACTTTAAAAAGAAGAAATATGAACACAAAGTTAAGTTCTTAAAGGATAAAAATCTCTCTTGCAGCTGTTTTGCTGCTGTACTTACCTGTTCTCATGTGACCAGCAGACTAATTGCTTTTTAACTGTCAGATTATGTAGCTTTTGTCTGAATAACAAACTTTAATGTTCCTTCTATAGTTGATATCATACCTCCGTGTTTCACTATACGATGCATGTGCAGCAGCGTGTTTCCTCACAGCTCTGCAACGTGGAAAGTACTTCATTCTCAGCAGAGACACTAATGTTTACGTCTCTTTAATGAACAGACGTTCGATATCTACTCAGGTTTTTACTTTATACCAAACTGAAGTGATGAGCCATTACATCTGCATCCGACTCTGTAGCTTTTTATTTAAGAGAATGTTTGAGAATTTAGTTTGTGTGAAATGGATTTTAAGCTCTGCGACTTTAAAACTCAGGTTTTTAGGAATTGTCAGTCTATTTTTTTAACCATGTCTCAAAGTGTTTGTCTTTTGTAGGACTGCAACTAAAAAAAAACATCATGCAAAACAGAAAACAGTACCGAGAGTATCAACGCTCAATGTGACGTCATCAAAACCCAAATAGATTCAACGCAAGACAAAGAAAAGCACAAACTTCTCTCATTTAACAACCTGGAAATTCAAGTCAATGAATCAACTAATGATCGCATCTGTGGTCTATTGCAGAGAGCTGGAGGTGATGGTCAGATGGGCTGATAAATAAACCAGAGGAGAGGATGAGGGCATGAAGGATGAGGAGGAGGAGGAAGAGGAAGTGGAACAGTGGCAGAGGACTGGCGCCACCAGAGGAAGAGGCTCCTCTCTTTCCGTGCCTGAAATAAAGACTCTTCCGGCCTTGTTCCATTTTTAATCCCTCGACTCCTGCCACTTCCCTCTTAACCCTGAACTGTTTCCTCTGAAGCCCCGTTTGAAGTTTTCCTCCACAAACAGACTCATCACCGAGTCTCAACAACAGACGTTCACCGACATACTTTGGTTCAACATCACCTTTAATATTCTTCTTTTTACTGACAACTGTCGTTTCTCTCCACCACAAATTCAGACTAAACATTAAATATCAGATAAATTAGATCTCATCTATTCTCACATCGATCTAAACTAAAACTTTTATGACAAATGGCCAAAATATTTAGAGATTTTTCTAATCTGTCGAGGAGAATAAAAACTAGCAACTGATAGTCTTGTTCAGATCATGAATACCCTCCATTTGATTACTGATCTGTTATGTAACTTGTGTTAAATCATTTGACACAGGAACCCGTTCTTCACCATCAATATGTTTACTTTTTGCCAAAACATTTATTTGTAATTTGACTTTTTGTGACGACTTTACAACAAAACCACTACTTTATTAGTACTTTTCTCTCCTGGTATTACTGGTATAAACAACACTTTATCTTAAAGTTGCCTTTGCACAAACCAGCTGAAACACGTTCCACAGGGTGGGAGTGTTGAGATGTCTTTACTTCTGCACGCTTTATCTCGCAGGAGTTTGAACTCATCATCCGGCTCCTTTGTAATCTTCTTCTGCAGCACATTTCAGATCATCTAGACCCCGACACAGAAAACACAACTGAGAATGTTGCAGAAGGTCGATGCTCGCTGGGTGCAAACGTGGAGCAAAATCTCGGTGTCTTTGTCCACCCGGGGGGACGGACGATGACCCCATTACACCAGCAGATATATCTTAAATGTTTGCACATGTGGACTGGGATGCTGTTTTGCAGCCGTTTGAGCTGCTTAACAGGCCCCCAAAAGCCCTCAGGGACCTTCTTTTTCTTCTCCTTTCTCCCTCCGTCCCTCCCTCCCTCCCTCTCCCTCTCTCTCTCTCTCTCTCTCTCTCTCTCTCGCTCCATCATTATCGTCCACATGCTTTTCCAGAGACATCCTGAGTGAAACAGCTCGACGTCCTCGATGGCTATCACATGTTCACATGAGGAGGGAGGCAGCCGGGGAAAGAGACATCTTGAAGAGAATGAAACCGGCTGTGCTAGTTTCTCCTTTCATTAAATACTTTACGAAGAGTTGTGTGCATCAAACTATTAACGTTTTTAAAACATAACTTCAGGCCTTGACTGACATTTTTCATCCTGTTTGATCTCGTTTTATTTTTAGCTGTTTTATTTCTCCCCAAAGATTCTGTATTTGTTTTAAACAACAAACCTGTTTAGGGACTTTTTTGGCATGGCTTCAAACTATTAGTTGAATGATTATGAGTCTTTCCTCGTTCAAAATATTCTCTCAATAAACTATTTTAGATGCTGAATAAGGAACTTTAAGTCATGACCTGGTGAATATTTGTCCACCGCCCAAAAAAATTGCAATTCTTAAACTTAAAACAACTTTTTCTTTGCCAAACAGAAGTGATGTTTAGCGACGTCAACGTTTGTTCAGACAATCATGGTCCCCTGAGGATGAACCCTTCTGATGTTTCCTTCAGCAGTGACTTTGGATTATCAACAAACACCTGCAACAATAATTAGCAAATGCTAGCATGCTAATGCGTTAAAACAAAGCTCTTGAATATCAGCATGTTAGCGTTGTCAGTTTGCTGACGTTAGCATTTAGCTCGCCCCTTTTCCCGAGTACAGCCTCAGAGAGGTCGAGCATGAGTGGAGACGTTTCTAGTTTTTGCCACAAATTCTATCTTTTAAATATCTTTTGTTAACAATTACAATTTTCTTCTTCATGTTTTTATTATCATGCTGAGTTCGAGAACATTTTTCTTCTTTTGTGCAGAGGAGTTAACTTTCAGACATATTTTGACATGTCACATGCAGAACAGGTTTTACTGTACGATAGTACGTATTACTTTAATTAAATACTGGCTAAAATACTTTACGTTGCCTTTTTTATGGTCTGTGATGTCAGACAACGCCGTCTTCGGGATGGATTTGAAGTTTACAAGTAAATACTCCAACTTTGAGTTGCGTTTCATTGTACTTGACACATTTAAAGCACTAATAGAATACATTACTATTGTAATGATAAATGCATGCAGTAGAAACACTGATGTTAAAGAGTCGGAGAGTAAAATGAAGCAGCAGACTCGCGTGTGGTTTCACTGTTTTCTCTCGTTTTATTGGAGGCGGAAGGTAAGACACACATTTCACCTGTTTACTCACAGACCTTTCAGCCACCCTTCAGTATCTACAAAGTACTTCCTGTTCCTTCTCGAAAGCAAGAGCTACATCCATCGTACATGTTAGAAACAGTTATTTAAAAAACAAAACAAAATAGAAATAAAAATGTACAACATACACTTGATATATATAATATAATTTTTGCTCTTTTTTTTACAGAGGTAAAAATACTAAGCGTAAAAAAATGGGTCTAATTCATTAGAGGGAGTCGTTTCTTTAACTTTTTCAATTTAAATACACAAAGAGATAAAGAGGATGCGTTCAGGCACTTGTTAATGGCTCTGACATGAGAGAACACACTCAAACACCAGACCCCACACACACACACACACACACACACACACACACACTCTCTCTCTCTTCCCAATCGGATTGGTCCCGTCCCTGATACATCACATCATCTAAAGATCTGATTATACTGGATAGGTGTTATTATGTGACAGCGTATTCAGCTGATCCCAGTAGCCCTGGATCAAGGAGCAGGAGAGGGGAAAGGGATGTGGGATAAACACACACACACACACACACACACACACACACCAAGGACATACTGGTACACAGAACAGGAAGGGAAAAGGACGTCCTCAGGCATTCTGTATTTCAACTACAGTTAGTGACATTTCCTTGGCAAAACAATCAGGGGTGGATGTTTGTTTCAAGCATTTCAGCTGTTGTTTTATTCGGACTCCCGTTCTTTTCCAATGGGACCCGAGTGCTTCTTTTATTTATTTTATTAATGCTTCAAAGCATTATGCTGCCCACCAGTCACATGGAAGTGTGGTTTCAGCAAGTTGTCTCTAATGTTGATCGAATATTTATATATATATATATATATATATATATATATATATATATATATAAACACACATATATGTATACATATACACATATATAATATATACACATATATATATATATATATATATATACTGACATATATATATATATACATATTCTAAATATTTTATCAACATTAGAAACCAAAAGCGAGAGACGATTAGCTTATCTTAGCATAGCATATGGAATAGGAAACAGCTAGCCTGGCTAACCAATCAACATCCCTTAAACCATGGTCTGGGTGAGTTCTCGATTCTGATTGGCTGCAAGAAAAAAATACAAAAAGAGTCGTCCTCCACTGCCTCATCCTCTGGTCACCACAAGGGGGCGACTGCAACACACGAGCTGCAAGAGGTAAGTTACACCGACGCATATCGCTCACATTCGCTACACGTCGCCTCTCATTTTGTTGATTAAAGCTTTTATAGTGATTTGAGGGTTGTTGTTAAAAATACTGCCAACTTATTTTTACTTTTTGTCGACTTTGAATCCTGCTAGCATAACGTTAGCTTTCTGGCTCTTAGCTGAGCTAAAAGCCAGCCAAGTAGTATCTAAGGTCCGTCCTATTTACTGGAGCAGTGAACAACGTTTCCATTGTATAAGAACCTTATGGGATGATGATAACTGTTCCAGCTATTAGCTCCAGGTATTAGCAAGACCTCCGGGTTCCCATTGGAACAGAGAGTATTGTGAAAAACTTCAGATTTTGGTTACAAAATGCATTAAAACATTTCATTTTCTTTGGTAAGTTACTCAGCTGTAGAGGCACCAGCATGTGGATTTTGTTACGGTTGGACAGAGCCAGGGTAGATTTCCCTGTTTCTAGTGCTAAGCTAAACTAAGCTAAGCTAAGCGCCTCCTGTCACACATATGCCCTAAAGTGTCCGATTATTCCTTTTACAACGCATGTTTGACATGTCGGCTCATCTTTTATAAATAAGACTACGTTGCTGTCGTGATGTTGTATGTGTCAAAATGTCATTCCTAATCATTTGTTTTTGGTTAAAAGAAATGTTTTATGCTAATTTTCACTAGTAAGGAGATTTGAATGACTATTATAAGGCATATTTTAGTGTGTGTGTGGGGGGGGGGGGGGGGGGGGTATTTTGTTGTAAAGCATCTTGAAAACAGTGAACTGAATCAAGGTCAAACACATTAAGTTAGTTATGAACTATCGCTGAGGACTTTGCTGTTCCACACATGTGACTGATGGGCTCCGCTGGAGGACGGGGCTTTAAAGAGGGGAGCTGATTGTTCATCGCAAAGCAAACTGGAGTCCTTAGTTTACACACTTTATGAGAAGCCTTTTACGAGTTCCTTTTCATTACAAAAATAGTTTAGCCCCAAGTTTATAAGAGTACGCGGTGAGGCTGATTGCTTGGAGCCGTAACCGTGCTCGCGCTTTTCATCATAGCAGACATCTTCAGAGGGACGGGGGACGGGGGAGTTTGGAGCCAGACTCCACACTTTAAGGCATAAAGGGCACCACGTTTTAACGGTATCTCTGATTGATTTTTCAGTCCTTGACGTGGCACGGACTGCTGACTGAGGTTCTGCAGAGAAATGAGGAAATCAAGAGCTTTTAAAAAGCTCACACCGCTTTAGAGTGTACGTCCACAAGAAACGGACCGGGTGGGTTCCTGGTTTAGGCGATAGTTTGAGGCACTGGTTGAAGGAACTGGGAGATGGATGCTGGAGTATCGTAGCACCGTCTCAGTCAGTGGGTGAATCACAACCCAGCACCCTTTGTTTTTTTTGCTGGTAGATCAATTCAGTGAGAAAATAAATAGGATAAAAACACGAATCTTTGGGATATTAAGACAAGTACCACGTTTGTTTCTGTGAACAAAGACGTCGATGGTGGAGCGCTATGTGGACTCTATAAATGAGCTTTACTATAAGCTGCAGTACAGACAGTGAAAGGCCTCGGCGCACATTGTAAGCATGTACATATACCATCCACACACACACACACACACACACACACACACACACACACACACACACACACGTAAAGAGGTTTAGTGTCTGATTTCTCTTGTAGCTGGAGTTGAGCTCAGCGGCCTGATATTGGAATAGAATATAAACAAAATGGCCGCGCGTACATCAAAGGAGAGAAAGGAAAAAAAATAGAACAAAGAAACAATTCAAGTTCTTTGACGCCGATATCAGTGTACAAAGTATAAAGTACCTGCATATGTGATACATGACATATAGGTCAGCTATAAAAAAAAAAAAAAAAAAAAAAGGCGCCCTGAAAAAGAGTGCTCTCTCTAGAAACAGAGCGTGAAATGGCCACGTGGAGAGCGGAGAGAACTGTCTGCCGTGAGGGGGAGCTTATCTTCCCAGGCTGTTCAGAAAATGCACCAACAGTTTTTTTAATTTTTTGGCTTATTTCAGTGTCTGGAATTTGTAGAGAATCCCAGAGAATCCAAGGCAAGGGAGTGAGCAGCCATGACCACTTGTTCCCTCTGTGCATCTCCCCCCCCACCCTCCCATCCTTCCCTTTCCCTGTGCTTGCGTTGGGTTTTGGTGTTCTGTCGTTTTATTTCTCAGCTCAGTGCCTTGTGTCGGCCTCCGCAGCAGCCGCACCTGAGCCCCGCCCGGTGGCAGGCGTGGAGAGGCGGGTAGAGGCAGAGGCACGGCGCCACCAGAGACAAGCAGAGCAGAGCTAGCCAGCGCGAGCCGAGTCGGCCACCGCCGCCGCCCTCGCCTCCGTCACAGGAGCAGGGGTCCGAGTAGTCCCCCTCTGGGTCGGACATGCAGTGGTAGAGCATGGTGTCTGCCAGCCACATGCAGCTGACCCGCCGGACGCACGCCCGCACGGGGTCCGGCGCATCGTGGCACCGCCCCCTCCGGTTGTTGGAGACGTAAAAGGCCTCGCCGCAGTGCTCGCACTGAGCGCGCTCCAACCCGTCCTCCTTCCGTCCCTTCCTGCCGTTGGCGGACGGCGAGGAGCTCGGGAGGAAGGAGCGGGGCTGGGCGGAGACCACGGAGGGGAAGCCCTGGCGATACGAGCCGCCGTGGCCCTTGTTCAAGGGTCCGAGTTCGGGGTCAGAGTCTGAGGGCGACAGGGCCGGCGCCAGCGGGTAGGTGTAGTCGTGCTTCTGCGCCTCCGTCTTGGCAAAGTGGACGTAGGACTCAGAGTCGTCCATTTGGATGAACTTGTCCCGCACGGTGGCGTGCCGGTAGTCCTCGTAGCCCTTGAGCCAGGGGCGATCTGACGGGCGTCCATAGTGGCGCTCGGTGTTTCGCTCCCAGCTGCGCTCCCGAGGGTTGATGCGGACGATTTCCTCGTCGTCCTGGAAGGTGACGTGACGGGGAAGCCGAGACAACGGCTGAAGAGAAAGACAGAAGGAAACTTAAACACGGGAAAAACAACGACAAGGAATTGAATTTCAAAATATCTTAATCAGGACTTTTTCACACTCTCTTGGCATCGCCGTGTGCTGAAACCAGACATTCGTTGTCTCACCTGGTCCATGAAGTGGTGGTCTGAGAGCCGGTAGGGGTCGTGGAGGTCGTGGCGATGTCCCAGCATGCACTTGTGTCTCTGCGGAAGGGGCGAGGACTCGTGCGGCTGCAGAGAGCTCTCCAGTTTCTGGGAGGAGTTAGACGAGCTGTCTGTGGTGTTCTGAAGGACACAAACAAACACAGGATGCCAGCTGAAAAGCTGCTCTCTGATTCGATACGCCAAACAAACAAGTTAGTGCAAGAGGACGCCATGATTGGACAAACAAAAACAGGAAGCCTTCACCGCAGCTCTGATTGGGGAAAACAGGAAGCGTGAGCTTTGTTTTTCGGGTCACTTGATCCACATTTGGATCTTGGTGTGCGAGTTAAACTTTTATAAACAACATCTGCCGTAAAAACATCTGCAACGGTCACTAAGAAAAAAAAAGGTGTTTGTGTGTGAGAAGAAGAACCGTCTTCATCTTTTGGAAGATACGCTCGTCTTTGGTAACTCGACGATGGAGAGAGGAAGCTGTGTGTAGCACACGGCTAATCACAACGTATCCTCATACACGGTTCGTATGATATCTTATGAAAACGTACGTATAAAAGTCAGAAACTCGTGTCAAATTCTGCTCATTACATGCAGACGGTCTTTTCAAACAAACTTCCATCTTCACAGGAAACACAGTCAGGTTGAGGAAAAGTCGTCGTTTGGGTTAAAATAACCACAGAAGTGCTGTTTCGTGCCCATTTTACATGAGATCGTTCTGCCAGCAGCAGCTCTGATAAACATGTGATTCCAGCTGTTCAAATGTTCCCAATTCTCTTCAACTTTTACTGTACAGAGAAAAAAACAAATAAACGGTGTGTGTAGCTCAGTTCATAAAGTAGGTTGACGTTTGGAACAGCTTGTCCTCGTGAACGCATGTTGAAGTGCCCTTGAGCAAGACACTGAAACTCAGATTGCTCGCAATGAACAGTATGTGTTGAAGGCTGCCCAGTGCTTTGAGCTACATGCTAACACCAGCATGGCAACATGCTCACGTGGCATTGCTAACATGTTTAACATTTTCACCATCTTAGTTGAGCTCGTTAGCATGCTAACGTTTACTAAATGGCACTAAAGACAAAGTACAGCTGAGCTGAAGCCCAGAGGAATGTTGTTAGATTTGCAGGTATTTGGCCATAAACCAAAGTATCGGACAAATTGATCCCGAGGGGGACGAGTGCAACACATCGTTTAGGGCAGTTCATCCGATCGTTTTTTACAAAATGTCAACCTCATGAGGTTTTACATGAAAGTACAACATTTTGTACCAATCCATCCAGTAGATGTTGAGATGTTTTACTGGATGAGTGAAGCCGACATCGGCAGCCCTAAATATGCAGAGTCACTGTGGACAAACAATGTCCCGTAAAATGGTTGCATCCTCCATTGAGGTCAGCAAGAAGCTCTGAAACTTTCTATTTCCCAAATTACTTTTACAATAACTGTACCACTTTGTCATCTAATCATCGCTGTGTTATGATAGTCAGAAGAAAACCAGCGTTTATTCCCTGTTGTCGGGTAACATATCGACCCCC